CTTAAACAATTAAAAACTTCCATAGGAGCCGTAGAATTACCGCAAGAAAAATTGCTAAAACAGCTGCTATTCTATACTTTGATGGTTTCATTTCTATCGGTATTCCGGAAATAGTTCCCTTTGGGAGACATGGTTTCAACGATGGAGAACTACCTTCATTTATTGGTTCTCCTTTCATAGAATATTTTGTCGTTTCTACAATATTCACCTTAATCATTTTCCCCAAATATTCTTCTTTTAAGGGTACTAAAACTTGCTCATAAGATTTATTATGTCCAACATAGTGTCTTTTATCATGAGATATTTCTGTAACTAAAACATCTTGAACAACCCCTACCCTGTTATCATATGGGGAATAAGATTGAAAAAATTCTGACAACTTTTTTGTTCTTTTCTTCACTTGCTGTGTAGGTATATTTGGCATTCGAGCAGCTGGTGTACCTGGCCTTGGAAAAAATTGATTGATAAACAAACTTGGAAATTTGTATTTTTCACAAAGCGTTATTGTTTCGTTGAAATCATCTTCCGTCTCTGTTGGAAATCCACAGATTATATCCGTAGCTATTGTCAATCCTGGGACACGTTCGCGTAAGAAGTTAACGACATACTCAAAATCAGCACGCGTATACTCTCGCTTCATATCCGAAAGTACCTGATCGCTTCCAGATTGTACAGGAATGTGAAGAAAACTGTAAACTTTTGGATGACTTAGAATTTTGCTCATTTCTTCTAGATGTTCCATAATATATGGTGGATTAGTCATTCCAACACGTATCATACAACCATCTGGCACCACTTCTACAAGTTTCCATAACAGTTCTGGTAAACTAGTACCAATGTCTCTGCCATAAGTCCCCGTATCTTCAGACGTCAACCACAATTCGCAAACACCTTCGTCGAATGCTTGTGTTGCTCTTTCAACAATTTCTTCTGGTGGGTAACTTCCTAATTCACCCCTTGCATGTTTTGTTTTACAATAAGTACACTGATTCAAACATCCTGTATTTATTGCTATAATTTCTATTAATGGGTTTCTCCGGACTTTAGGAAGACTTAGAGATGCACCACCTATTTTTTTACCAGCTTCTTTTTTCTGCTGCAGAAATCGAACTGTATTTCCTTTCAGAGTTTCTTCAACTACTTCTACAACACGATCAATCTGTTGTACACCGATCATGCTGAGACCTTGTAAGAAAGACGACTTTGGAGCACCTTGTGGTACACATCTGAAAAATATTTGATTCTGCTTCAATTAATATTCATTTCAGTCATAGTAATGTTTATTTATTTTATGTATTACTGTTTTGTTTGGTCTAAAGAACTTAAAATATTCATAATGAATTTTGAAAATAAATATTCATGCAAACAGATAATAAACTTAAGTTATATCAAATTTTTTCCCATTAATATTACCAACGTTTTTATTTTAAAAAGTTATAAATCACTTTATACAAAACATTTTATAAGGTAATAAATGTAATACTTCAAAGACAATAATTTGACATAAAAAATTGTAATACCCAGCCACAACAACATGTTTTCCCACTTTTCTTCCAGCTTCTATTTCATTTCTGAAATGATCCTCCGCAGGACTCTTTACTGTACATGAATTTAAAAGCCATAAATCTGCTTCATGCTTATTTTCTGTTAATTTGTAACCATAGCTAGCCAATTGACCTGCCATGTATTCACTATCAGAATTATTGTGTGTACATCCCCATGTTTTTACATAAATAGTTTGAGTTCCGGGAACAATGCTGTTAAGTATTGGAGGTTGTGGTAGCTCTTCTGTCAATTGTTTTCGTTTAGAACGAACAGTAATATTTTTCCTTGTACTATATCGTTCTTTTGGTGTAATATCCTGCGATGATATTAGATCTTCTATGTCTCCAACAATATCTTCACACGGAGCGGGCATTTTTTGTACGAATTGAATTACCAATAAAGTATCTTTAAGGTTACTTTTGTGTTTGATATAACGTGGAAATTATTTTATCATCTTTTTTACAAATTACTTTTAATACAATTCTTCACACTATAATGATTAGTAAATATCAACAATAAAATATAAAAGATACACTGAAAAAACTTACTAAAGAAACTATAGGTTATGTTTTATTTATCTCTTATGTCACGTGTGAAAATTCTAATATTTTGGTGGCGCTAGCTCTAAGATGTACTAAAAGTAAACGCGGTCAATTTCAATTCACAGTTGTAGATCAAAATGTTACAAGTACATCTTAACGATTAACTTTAATTTTAAACGAAATATTAGTATTACTTATTGTAAGAATTTTATTTTTTTTAGACAACATAGATACATGAAAAAGTTAGAAAAATACATATACCATAGGCGAGATATAGGTGCGGATAAGGTAAATATAAGGATAAACGTAACATACAATATAAAATTTTGTCATACACTCTCGGGGGTCCTAGGACTCCCTTACCATTTTCGTGTCACGCCCTGTAATGTATCGACTGTTGGTTTTGTATAGCAGTGCGATAAGTAATTGGGATCAGAATCAAATATATTAAAATTTTAAATGACAATCAGTACAGTGTTGCTGATATAAAAAATTCTTTATTCATTGAATTGGACGTCGCCAAGTGTTTCATCGGCAAGTAAGAAATATTTATGATGAGAAAAACTCTCGAATGCGAAGGGTTATGAGCGTATCTGACAGTATCGGTAACTCAATACTACAGACAGAAAATTACTAGACTACCCTCTATCGCATCTGTGGTCGTGTAACATAACATATTTGTACTCTACTACACAAATTGCCTAACATAGTAGGTACATCAGTCTCTCCGTTTACACGGCACTTTCTTTACACGAGTCTCTCTTTTACGCGGTAAATTTATTTACTATTTACGCGGTATTGTTTATACGTGATATCAATTTACACAATTTGAATTCAGTGACACCGAATAAAATTTACTTTTGTTTTCTAAAATGTCATTGTTATTAATTTGTTGCTAAGCTGTCGTTTCCTTTTTAACATTTTGTTTTCCTTTGTATCGGCAGACAATATTGACGAATATACGTGGAACGGATACTCCGCGTAAATGGAGGGACGGGTGTACTACGAACTAGATCTATTTTTTTACTCCATCACATCCAGTGAATGTACGGTCTATATAGAAAAGTGACGTGATAGCCTTCTTCGCACTGGTGGTAGGCAGATTGCCAAGTGTAACGCCTATCCGGCTAGAATTTTCAATTGTTTACACCTTTAAAACAAAGAGTTTACCACAATTTCGTTACTGTTGATTTTTAATTATGCAGTTCTAACGTATTTTACGCTACATGCAAAATGTCATGGCTTACATATATATTTTGTATAATACAGAATTTCTATATACTGTATTCATTCTAAAACTGGACATTATTGATATCAAATTTTGTTAAAATAATAATTCGAATAAAATTTTTATTGTATTCTTTACTTTGTTTGTTACAGTGCCTTTATTAATGTTACTGGAGTAGTAATGTATTTGAGAAATAAAATATTTTACAATTTGCTATTTTATTTGCAGGTTTCGCATTTATTATTTGATTTCATCAAGTTATTTGTTATTTGATGTTATTATTCGAAATAATTCAATATTTAAAGTGTACATTGGTTTAAACAATTAAAATTTCCATTGGAGTAACCCCTCATCTTCTTCGTCATTTATTTACACTGCAAATAAAAAGTTATCGAAGTTACATAATTCACTTGAACGGATAATGTGAGATGCTTCGATGCTCAGAATGTTAGTCGATTTCTTGATTTAAATTGAAAGTTAACTGACATTTGAGAATAATATTTAATAAATTATAGTAAATTAGTTTGCTCGGCCACAAATGTTTCACAGTGTTCATATCAAAATACTCAAATCAATAGTCAGACGATGTACGAATAAAATTCTGTATCTAGGTAATGTACAAATTCAAATGCAACAATGTACAGATGAATAATAAGAGAAGGTTATTTTTAAATGAAAAGTAAGGAAGTAACGGAGAATAGAAACTGGCCGATGTACCAAGTGTCACGCACCCCGTATTTGTATACTCGTAGCCCACGTTATGTAGCCACAAAAGGTGCTTGGCTCCGCTATCAACTCTTGCGGTTCACATTTTCAAAAAAATATTATGGAATCGCACGTAGAGTTCGATGAACCCCTATTGATACGAAGCCAACTAACAGATTTTCATATATGAACGTGAGAGTATTGAAGGTGTCCCAGAAACATAAGACCATTTTAAAAATATGTATTCTTTACGTAAGTCAAACTCGATAAGTTCTTTGCTATTAAAAGTTGTAGTTGAAAGTCGAAGGTTAAATTTCAGAGCGCACTTTTTAACCTTTATTTTAGCAATCAGGTATCGATTTTTGTACCTATTTCCACAGAATTTGTAACAAAATTGTGACAAAACAAATGTAACAAAATTGTTTCGAATCCTCCATTTTTTAACACCTTTAGGCTGTTTTGTACTTTGGAAATTAAAAGTTAATGTAAGAATATTATGATACTAAAGTTTGAACAGACATGAATTATTAAACTTTTTTCAGCTGAGCACTCGACCACCCAAATTCTTTTTTTGAACAACTTTATGGCTAACCTTAAGAAATTATATTCTGTGAAACACTGATTCTCTAGTTCAAACGGTTTGTAAGGTATTAAATGTCTAAACTTTAAAAATCCTGTAGCGATGTTTGCAACCTAACATAGAAAGTAAAATCTAGAATGTAGATATTGGCATGCAACGAATGACAGCTACGCGACGTGACTGAAAATACACTTTCGGAGTATAATATAGTATATAACAATATAAACATAATTATAAGCTCATTTGATTATTTGATTTTTCTATGGTTTGTTTTTGAAATCCTCCATTCTTTTTCAGTGGAGGTACATTGAAACATATTTAAAGTGCATTGGAAATGCAATACAAATGATGCCCTCCAATTATTTTTTGCAGTACAAAAAATGCCGTTTCACAGTTGGACAAAACTATAAGTTCAGTTGCAAAACTATTAAATGGCAAGAATAAAAATGATTACTCCGTTGCTGTGTCATTACGATTTATTATTTAAAACATTCTAGTGTTCATGCTGCCAATGAGTTTCCCAACATTTTTCTTTATTTCTTCCCACTTTTCTTTTATTTATCGCTACATTTAGTTGATTAATCGTCTCATATCTGGTATTATTTTTAGAAATATTTTCTGCAAGGACTCCCCATATGTTTTTCATTCACTTTAAGTCAGGAAATAGTGCTAGACATTTTAAAACCTACAAATTATTGTGCTCGTATCTCTTCCATGTACTTCGAGTTTGATGCACTGTGGTATTATCTTACTGGTATTTGATGTTTCATAGACCATACTGATCTAAAATATGAAGAAACAAATGCGATTTTAACACTTGCTGATGAACAAAACTATTATTTTTGGCCGAAACAAATATTGTAGGAAGTTTCCCAAATGCTCGCGACAACATTACAGGTCCAGCACCAGAATTTCATCAGGAATGAGACAACTGTTATTTTTCTAAATCGTGCCAATAGCAGATAAAGAGTTGAAGGAATTAAAAGATACTCTTTTCCTGATGAAATTTAAAGTTTATGAATTTATCTGATTTAGTTTATTGTATCCATTGGGAGAAAAATTCTGGTCATTGCAACATATGTACGTACACATGTATTAATGTTCGATATCGTGAATTTTACAAGAACGTACTAGCTGCTCTAAAAATTACGTGTTAGTAGAAGATATTGATTACTTCATTTGAAAGCAGCTAGTATGTTTTTGTAAAATTCACAATATCGATATAAATTATATATAGATTAAATAGGTACATAGGTAAGTACTATTAATACTTTTCCTTTATCTCTGTTTCTAGTTGTATTTCAACTTTTTGCATAACTAGAACAGGTTTGCCTGCAGATTGCCTCACTAATGCGTGGTCGTTGGCAGTCAATGTCACAAAATTTTCCAATAGATATGGGAAAGAGGAGGCACTTACAAGCAGTTACAAAAATATTCGGCCATTAGTTTTAACCATTATATTATTATTAGCCATTATGATGCTACCTTATACTTTACATCAATATCTAATAAACAAAAATAAATTATTTAAATTTTTATTATTTAAGAAAAGTAAAATTATTTGAAGATCCTCCTTACAATTATTGTTAACAGCAGTGGGTCGCAATATCTTACTGGCGGTCAAAGAAATTCTCTGTTAAACCGACAGGTAAATAGGAAGTCATTTTAATTATGAATCATGAATTATATTTAATTAAGAAAATAATTTTCATTATAGTTATGAAATTAATTATGAGAAAGGAATAAATGTAAATAATACGTGACGGTTATCGTTTCTATTAATTCGTTTGTATCCTACGGAAGTATGAGAAAACAATCCATAACACAAAATTACTTTTATAAGTAGAAATACTGTGAAATGTACGAATCAGAATTAATTCGTGTAGACAAGGGCTAATACTTAATTCATTTGATTGATATATCTAGTAAATAATGCAGTATTTTAAAGCGACGGAAACGCATTGAAATATTTTTTATACATAATCTTTCTGTACGCATATGTAAAAATTAGATATGAGGAAAAGAAAAACAACTTAAAAAACTGTGAAATCGTTGTAGGAGGATACTCAAGGATATAGCTCGTCTTGGGAGCAACGCCCTCTGATTTTTGACTGTACCGTGCGTAAATACCTATATAGTATACGTGACCGTACATTCAGCTAAGTGGGGTTTAAACAGAACACCCCGGGAATTAGATGTCCAATTTTTAAAAATTAGCACTAAGATAATACAAAATACAAAAATTAATATCGAGAACTGAGGAATAATATCTAGTTCTATTGCTCAAATACTGTTTTAATAAACATATTTCTTTTATATTAATTTTCTTTCCTTTTTTTAATTTCTGGAACTTATGTTTGCTTCCTGTACTAGTTGCTTTGTATAATATGACATTTTTGTAGAGACCTAACGACCGTGTTATAGAAATGTTACCTATATTTCCAAAGTGAAGTCTTAATTCGCACAACAATAAGGATATTTCGATTTGTATTTGAGTGAAAAATATAATGCTCAGATGGTCTCATATTTCAGAACATCTTGTATACAAAAGAAAATACATTTGATTGAACAAACA